ACCTTGCTTGCCAGCTTCATGGGACCTTGAGCAGAGAATCAATTAAAACATACCAGACATCTGACAGAAACTGTGGGATAATAAATGTTTGTTGTTTTAAGCCACTAAGTTTGAGGTACTTTGTTATGCAGCAGTAGCTAACGAATACAGATATTAGCAATAGCTGTTCGGTAGCAATTGCTGACTAATGAATGACAGGTGTTCATCCCAGTGTGGTTTAAAAACACATAAGCTGCAGACAACATAAATAGATAACAGAAAGGGATTACAGGGATCCCTGGGTGGTGCAGCGGTTTGGCCTCTGCCTTTGGCCCAGGGCGCGATCCTGGAGGCCCGGGATTGAGTCCCACGTTGGGCTCCCGGTGCATGGAGCCTGTTTCTCCCTCTGCCTGTGTCTCTGCCTCTCTCTCTCTCTCACTGTGTGCCTATCATAAATAAATAAAAATTAAAAAAAAGGGATTACATAGATAAACTATTGTAAACCCATTAATAATAATGATTTCCATGATGATGCCATTTGCCAATGGTCCAGGACCAGGCTCTTGTGTAAATGCTGTGATTATACATATTTTATGATGTGAGCACACCGAGGAGGGCAAGACATGTCCAGAGCCATATAGGGAATGAGCAGCAGACCAGGATCACTATTCCCATTGTAGAGATAGAGCTTTTGCAATAAGTTTGCCAGGTGGAGTATGTGTTCACAGGCCATCCGTTAGTGATCAACCAGCTTCCTGGGGTTCCACTGGGAGCCACTGGGACATTAAACATACTCATTACTAAGCAGCATGGCCCATGGTTGCAGTGTTCTTAATTCTCTCTTTTTTGCGGGGGGGGGGGGGCGGTCAGGGAAGGGAGAGAGAGGGATGGGGAGGGGCAAAGGGAGAGGGAGAGAGAATCTTCAGCAGATTCCACCCAGTATGGAACCTGATGTGGGATTTGATCTCACAACCCTGAAATCATGACCTGAGCTGAAATCAAGTCAGTTGCTTGAAGAACTGAGCCACCCAGGTGCTCCCTCCTCTCTTTTTATTTTATTTATTTATTTTAAAGATTTTATTTATTTATTCATGAGAGACACAGAGAGAGGCAGAGAATAGGCAGAGGGAGAAGCAGGCTCTCTGCAGGGAGCCTGATGCGAGACTCAATCCCAGGACCCGGGGATCATGACCTGAGCCAAAGGCAGATGCTCAACCACTGAGCCACCCATGCACTCTGCCCTCTCTTTTTATTTATTTTTTAATTTTATTTATTTATTCATGAGAGACAGAGAGAGAGAGAGAGAGAGAGAATGAGAGAGAGGCAGAGGGAGAAGCAGTCTCCATGCAGGGAGCCAGATGTGGGACTCGATCCTGGGTCTCCAGGATCATGCCCTGGGCTGAAGGCAGTGCTAAACCACTGAGCCACCGGGGCTGCCCCTGCCCTCTCTTTTTAAAACATTTAAGTATTCCTACACCTAACGTGGGGCTTGAACTCACAACCCTGAGATCAAGAATCTCATGTTCCCCCTACTGAGCCAGCCAGGCGCCCCTGTTCTTAATTATCTTTTCTTCGAGCCTCAGTTTCCAGAAGGTAATCCTGGATGCCAGGCACTGAGGGCACCAGCACCAGAGCTGGGGGCATTTTAATACTCAGTGTTACTACTGTTGTCTGTGAGCTAAATCCACAGAAGCTCAGAAAGGGGTCATGCCTTTCCCAATGTCATACAGTGAGCTGGTCAACCTTCAAAGCTGGCTCCTCCCATGTTCTCCATTCAGTAGTCCAGCTGTCTCTATCCTCCCCATCATTCACTCCAGACTGCCCATGCCTGCCCTTCTGTGATCCCTCTGGGCAGTGCAGTCCTGCTTGCTCCAATATTTACCTGGCCTAGCTCCTGGGTAAATCGCTGGGCCCAGACAGTGGGCAGAGGGATCAGTGTGTCTGAGCAAGTGCTAGCATCTTCCAGGTAGGAAGGACTGATCCCAGGTGAAGGATAGAGGATTCCAGAGCCTTGGTCCTAGGCTTAGGCAGGCTGGATGTGAAACCTTTCTAAGTCTCATTCTCCTCATCTACAAAATGGGCTGATAGCTGTGTTGTGAGAATTAAATGTCATTTATTCATTCAACACATTTCCTGAGCACCTACTCCATGCTAGGTCCTGTGCTGAGGGTGTTCAATGAGGAAATATAGGGAAAGGGACCCAGGTGCCTAATCAGGAGGGTTCTGGGTCAGAAAGATATTAAATTCAAGTTCCAGCCAGCCCGCTCGCCGGCGGTGAATGAGAGTGCTGCCTCACACCTCTTAGTTTCGCCTTTTATAAATGGAGATATTAACGACAGGTATGGGAGAGTGTTTCAAGAAATCTAGCATTGCCTCGGGCTCAGCAGTTTATGGTTAGAGGATCAATGGATAATAGTGCTAACTTGGCGGTGTTGAACAGAACTAAGGAGGTCACTTTGGTAGAGATATTACTAGGTCTTTGAACTTCACTTTCCTCTCTTAGCTCAAAATCTTCATCCTGTGGTTACTGTTTGTAATTAGATTGAAGGGAAGGAGAAAAGTCATGAACTTCCTGTAGATTAGGAGACCCAGGAGTCCAAGAGAAGCTTGCCTGGGCAAGTCGGTGCTGTTTCCAGCCTCAGTTCCCCCAATGATAGGATCAGAGATTGATAAAATCTCTCATAGCTCCTGTGAAAAACAATAAGCACAGAATTACCATAGGACCTAATAATACCTCCTAGGTATAGACCCAGGAGAAGGGAAAATATTCAACCGTACAAAAACTTGTACATGAATTCACAGCAGCATTATTAAAAGAGTGAAATGGTGGGGATCCCTGGGTGGCGCAGCGGTTTGGCGCCTGCCTTTGGCCCAGGGCGCGATCCTGGAGACCCAGGATCGAATCCCACATCGGGCTCCCGGTGCGTGGAGCCTGCTTCTCCCTCTGCCTGTGTCTCTGCGCCTCTCTCTCTCTCTCCCTCTGTGACTATCATAAATAAATAAATAAATAAAATTAAAAAAAAAAAAGAGTGAAATGGTGGAAATATCCCAAATGTCCATCAGTGGATGAATGAATAAACAAAATGTGGTCCATCCACACGATGGAATATTACCCAGTCATAAAAAGGAATGAAACATTGATACATGCTACAATAGGACCCGCCTTGGAAACATCAACCTTGAAAATAAAACAGGCAGTTATTTTACCAGCAAAATGGGTTTTATTCAGGAATAGTAGAGGAATTGTAACTCAGGACATGAAAAACTATGATAAAGCTATTGGTCGAAAAGGAACAAAGGATACGAAACATTACCTTATAGAAAAGGAGGAATTTGGGAGGGTCTCCTTTGGAGGAAAGCAAGAGTTCAAGGTAGTGACAGTTTCTCATTGGCTGAGTGGTGGCAGGTTATCATCGGCTCGGCCAGGAGAAAATCATCCTTCATCCTGCTGGGGTAGCAAAGTAGACTTCTTCCTGTTGGGGTTTGCATTTGACAATGAGTCAGGAGGGCACAGAGCTCTCTCTTCTGAACTCCTGACTTTATTGAGAGAGAGAGAGAAAGAGAGAGAGAGAGAGAAGGGGCAGAGAGCGAGGGAGAAAATCTTAAGCAGGATCCAGGTCCAACTAAGAGCCCTGCACGGGGTTTGATCTCACAACTGAGATCATGACCTGAGCCGAGATAAAAAATCTGACACTTAACAGACTGAGCCATCCAGGTGCCCCCAACTCTGTTTTAAATGAGGTTGCCTTCATTCAAGTTCACAAAAACATCATGCTGAGTCTTTCACGGAGTGTGAGTCACAGAATGTCAATGATATGATTTCATTGATACGAAATGTCCAGAATAAGTAAAATCATAAACACAGTAAGTAGGTTAGTGGTTGCAGGGGCTAGGAAGTGGGTTTGGGGAGTGACTTTGGTGGGTAGCTGTTTTCTTTAGGGGTTATGAAAATTTCTCCAAATAAGATAGTTGTAGCGGCTGCACAGCATTGTGGATGTACTAAATGCCACTGAATAGGACACTTTAAATGCATTGAAGTCATGATACATAAAATGTTTTCTTAAAATGGGAAAGGTGCACAACCGCTACATCTCAGGAACCTTGAGGATACAGAATTTTATTCTGTTAAAACTATACTCGGGATCCCTGGGTGGCGCAGCGGTTTGGCGCCTGCCTTTGGCCCAGGGCGCGATCCTGGAGACCCGGGATCGAATCCCACATCGGGCTCCCAGTGCATGGTGCTTCTCCCTCTGCCTGTGTCTCTGCCTCTCTCTCTCTCTCTGATGACTATCATAAATAAATTAAAAAAAATTAAAAAAACCAAACAAACTATACTCTTATCATGAGCAAACTTCACCGCCTCCCCAACATCCCTAATACCCTAACAACCCCGGCAGGGAATCCCATCTACTTACCTTACAGGAAGCTCCACGAGCCCAATCCAGCTTCCAACGCGCGCTCGGTTTGCATAGCCACGCCCACTCACCAGGCTATTTGCGGCCCCGCCCCCCACGTGTTTTGCACCAGTCCCGCCCCCTTCACGCACTGGCTACGGCTCTGGACAGAAACCAGGGACGGAAGGCTTGGAGCGACCTCATAAATAATGCATCACGTCAGCGGCCAGTGGGGTGTGGCTTCGACCCTCGCCAGGCTGAGCCAGGGTCATGAATTATGCATATCAAGGCGGGGCCTGAAGGTGTGCGCGTGTCGGGGCGGAGTCCCGGCACGGAAGTGGCCCCCTCTGGTGCCTTGAGAGGTGGGGCCATCCACGCTTCATGAATATGCAGCACATCGGGGCGGTGACTGTGAGCTTCGCCAGGCCCACTGGGGGGTGCGATCTGCGGCATTCATGAATAATGCAACAGTCGGCCGGCCGTGCAGAGGTGACTGCAGGCTTCATTAGATCCAGAGGGGCGTGGCCAGCCGCGTCTCATGAATAATGCAGCGCGTCAGCGGGCGGTGGGGCGGGGCGGGGCCGGCGCGCCGGCGCTGGAACCGGGAAGGGGGGGCGGGGGAGCGATGGTCGCAAGATGGCGGCGCTGAAGGAGGCTCGGAGCTACGGGCTGTCTTGCGGGCGGGTGAGCGACGGCAGCAAGGTGTCCGTATTCCACGTGAAGCTCACCGACAGCGCCCTGAGGGCTTTCGAGAGCTACCGCGCCAGCCAGGTGAGCGGCCTGGGGCCCGGCGGGATCGTCGGGGACGTCGAGGCGCAGGCCGGCCTCATGCGCCCCTCGCGGAGGCGTCCTGTCTTGGGGGCGCGGGGTCTGGCGTCCGGGGTGCTGCTCGCGGGCCCCTGGGCCGACGGGTCGCGGGGTGGGCACCTGTCCAGCTTGGAGCGCGGGTAACCGCGTTCCTTCACGGCGCTGGGAGGTGACACTGGCGGGCGGCCCGGGGCGGCCGAGGGGCCCCGAGCTCGCTCTTCTGGTCCGCGGCGGGGAGGAGGAGGGGAGGCGATTGAGTCGGCACCTGGAGGCGTCCGGAGCCTTTCTCGGCTCACCCAGCCACTGAGCAGGAACTGAACTGTTCACCTAGCTGGGGGACGGGAGAGGGGGTTGGGGAGGCTTGAGGCTTCTCCGTCTGGGTCCCAGGCAGGGTGGGTCAGTGGGGCACCGCGGTTGGGCACCTGTGGAGAACCTGTTCCGTCCGTGTGGGGAGGCTGAGTCTGTGCTTGAGGGCAGGCTTCAACACCAATGTAGCCCTTGGAATTGGGCTCACTCTTGGTTCTTGGGAAGGAGAGTTTGGGCAGAAACTGTCAGCTTGTTTCCAACTCCCCTACCCCTCTCAGGTGACCCTGTCTCACTGGACATTTTTGGAGAGTGGGAGTGTTTTGGGTAGGGGGGCAGCTGTGCGTGTGTGTGTGGGGGTCGCTGGCATGGTGCCTTTCCCAGGATGGGCGCTCTTAGTGGGCAGCTGGGAGGGAGCTCTGGCCACCGCACCTGGCTACTGACTCTCAGACTTCTCAGGGGCCGATTTGGGCCCATCTGGGGAAGTTAGAAGTGTTTCACTTCTGCCACCTGGCTCAGGGTGCGTGGGTTGGGGGGAGGCTGCTGTGTACCTTCTTTCAGGCTTGATTTGGGGGCACATCTGGGGCCCTGGTCAGAAACCTGCTTCTTCCCATTTCTGTTTGTGTCAGGACAGAAGTTTCAGGTGCCCAGAGTGGCCAGGACCTGAGGGGAAGTGGTTTGGGAGCCCCTTTCCTGGTTGCCTGGAAAGTGGGGGCTTTATAGTCATGAAGTAGTTGAGGAGGGGTCTAACGTCAGGCTCAGGGAGGCCCTGCTCCCTGTGTGTGTGTGTGTGTGTGTGTGTTTGTGTATACTGGGAATGGGGGGGCTGAGGGCGGGTGAGGAGAGAGACTAACTAGGAAGGAATGTGGCTTTCTTCCTGCCCCAGACTTGTTCAGCACCATTAGCTAAGCCGGGAATTTCTTCCTGTGTTACGTTCCCACCACTTTCCTGGTGCCCACCCTTCCCGTGCTGCTTCCCACTTTTTGGGGCAGTTTCCTTCCCGTCCCAGTGTCCCAATTTCCCATTCATAGAAGGAGTCTTTTTTTTTTTTTTTTTAAGAAGACCGAGGTCTTCCCTTGTCAAAAGGATTCCTCAGGATGAGGCTAAGGCACCCTAGCAGGTGAGGAGTTGGGCAAGGGTGAGGGGTGGGGAGGACACTATGTCCAGCTTAAGTCTACCTTGTGGAATTCCAGTCTGGAGTCTTTTCCCTAGGCAATTCTGACTTGTTCTGCAGGAAGGCGGGCTTTCCTAGAAACAGCTGAGGGATAGCTCATGAGTCATGTAAATAAGGTGAACTTGGTACCTGGTCACTTAGGAGCCCCACCTTCCTTGCCATGCTGCCCTCGCTTGATCTAGTCGTCCCCAAGGCCTGCCTGTGTGTCCACCTCATGCTGTCACACAGCTATTTTTAATTTAGGGTGTTGGTTACATCCTCTAACTAAGCTGGATCTTCCTCATGTGAGGGCGAAGGTAACTGCAGACTCTAGCTCATCCCACTTGGAGCCCAGCTGTGTATGTCAGTGTTGATCAGCCAGGAGGGGCTCCCTTGAAGAACTTTTCCAAGCCAGCTGGGCGAAACTTTTGAGGGTGACCCAAATTTGCATTCTTCTCAGAAGCTCGTGACCAGAGAACTGTATGGGTTATTAACAAAATCTCTTATGTACGATTGTCAATAGTGTTGGAGTTTTCTATTCTATAGCACTGTGGTTATATGGCTTGCCAATGACAACTTGTGGAGAGGGTTTTTATTTTTACTTTTAATTGCAAAGAGGCATTTACAGATTCAGATGTGGTAGGGGACTGGAGAGGAAGTTCACGCGAAACTTTTCTCTGTGGCCCAAGAGAGCCTGTAATCCTAACTCTTGGAGTAGCCTGAGTAAAAGTCCCCTGTGGTTTCTCTCTTCAGAGCGGTGTGGCGTCTGAGCTGCCTTTGTGCAGACCTGATGGCCAGCTTGGAATGTGGCAGAAGGTAATATATGCAGCTGCCACTGTCTAGACTTGGGGTTCGTGCAATTTCTCCTTGAATATAAAAAACCCAAGTGAGTTCCAGTGCAGCTACTCCCATAGATCTCCTTTTTCACTGTGTTTGGCTACTTCTGGGAGAGAAGAGAGCGGAAGCATAGACCCATCCTTCTAAGATAGCGTCATGTGCTTGCTCAGAGGAGTGTTCCCTAGCCACTCTGAGGAAGTATCTGTCCTTGGGGCGCCTGCCTGAACCACCCAGCTATTGCATTGTTGGATTTAGTGGGCTTTGTTGCTGAGTGATCTTCTCTCCTGGTTTATAAGCTGCTTGGTGGTGAGGAGCATATTATTGTTCAGTAAAAATTGAGAGCCCAGAGAGGGACTCAAGAAGCCTGAAGATTATAGCCTATCTAGGTTTAAATCTTGGTTCTACCTGCTTGAGGCCTTGACCCAGTCAGTGCCTGACCCCCTCCCAGTCCAGATCCTCCTCTTTGGAGCTATGAGGATCCCAGTGCCTGACCTTCTCCCAGCTCTAGATCCTTCTGATCCTTAGGATTGTGTAGATCCCAGTATCTGAGCCCTCCCAGCCCTGAGTGCTTCTCTCAGGGTTGCAAAGGCAGGTTCCCCTACCTGCCTTGAGCTCTGGATCCTTCTCAGGACTGTTGAGGGTCCCAGTGCCCTGCTGTGTCTAAAGTCTGGCTCCTTCTCTCAGGGCTGTGGGGATTTTTTTGACACATGTGTGGCTATCAGTGCAGCCCTGACACTTCCCCTCTCCTGCTGTGTTTTCAGCACTTGGTGTCCATACCCAGAGGGTATGGAACCTAGAGCTGGTTCCCACCTGGAGGTTTGAATAGAGACTGTGGGAGACAGGGAGCCTGGGCTGCATCTGCCTAAATCTGATTGACCACCTGGCTTGTGTAGGGCTACTGCTCAGATGCTGGACATTCAGAAGTGACCAAGATGAGTCCCAAGTGTCATGAGTTGACATTCTGGAAGCAGGAGACATATCGGTATAAAGAGCTTGTCAGCAATCAGCATCAGGAAGGAAATAAAATGGTGTGATGTGATGGTAGGGTGGGGCTGCGTGAAGGGGTACTGATTGAGAAGGTGCTTCTAGGAGATGCCAGAGCTGAGGCCTCCCTGGTGAAGGGTCCTGTGCAGGGAGGGTTGGGGGTTCCAGGCACTCTGCCTTCGAGCGTTGGGACACAAGAGGCTGGGGAGAGTGTTGGGACATGGAGGTACTGGGGCTCTGTCCTAGGAAGGGTGTGTGGGGAGAGGAGGTGGAAGGGGCCTGCAGCAAATAGTCCATGACTCTTGTAGAGTTGTGATGGGGGCTGTTTGCTGCTAAGGGGGCGGCTGTGTGGATGTCAGCTCGGGCACTGATGGCAGGAGGAGCCTTAATTTAGCCTCTATTCTCCAACCACAGCAAGGCCCCAGGAGATAGGCTTGTATCCCCTTTCTGGGAGGTGCCCACTGGGCCCTAAGCAGGGCAGCTTCTTGCCAGCCCTGCTGTCTTCAGGAATAGCTGGGGCTGCCCTTCTTGGCTGTGGGCCGGGCCCCGCTAGGCCTTTTGTCCAGGCTCGTGTCATCTTCTGGTAACCTTGGCCAGAGGCTAGCTTGTTGTTTCCCCTATGCTTTGGGGGCAGTGAGGGGGCTCAGAGAGTCCTCGTCTACCTGTCCAAGATCACTCGGCCCAGGTTGCCTCTTGAGTTGGGAGGGAGCTTGAGCCACTGTGACACAGCTATGAAAGGGGGTCCCTCGATGGTCTTGAATTTTAGTTAAACTCCAGCATTCTGGACTCCTGCAAGCAGTGGTGACATGAGTGGCTGTTTATATTCCTGAGGTTGCCGAAGTGACTGTCCTGTGCCCCCTACCCCCGAGAAAACCTAAAATGGTGATAACCAGCACCTGTGGATCACACCCTCATGCCAGCACTGGCCTGAGCTATACACGTTAATTTATCTCACCTCTGTCCTTCAGCCCTATGGTGGGGAATGGCTCCCACCTCTCCGGTGAGGAAACGGGAAGAAACTCTGGGAGGCCAAGTCACTGGAAGGAAATTCCCAGCTGGGATGGGACTGAGAACCAGGCTTCAGACTTGCATGCCAGTGTGTGGCTCCAAGCTCTGCCCCCTCTGAAAGGTGATCTGGCTGGCTGGGCCAGATGGAGCAGCCAGGTCCATTGATGTCAGGAGCATGGCTTCCTGTCTCCTGCCCTCTGGCTGTAGCCGTTTGGTTTACTTGTGTCTTGTCTTTTCTTTTCTTTTCTTTTCTTTTCTTTTCTTTTCTTTTCTTTTCTTTTCTTTTCTTTCTTCATTCATTCATTCATTCATTCGAGACAGAGAGAGAGGCAGAGACACAGGCAGAGGGAGAAGCAGGCTCCTCATGGGGAGCCTGATGCAGGACTTGATCCTAGACCCTGGGATCATGCCCTGAGCTGAAGGCAGATGCTCAACCACTGAGCCAACGAGGCGTCCCTACTTGCGTATTTCAGTGTGGGCTCTTGATTATTCTGAGTGAGGTGAATCCTTCATAGTAGGTGCGTGTCTCAAAGGTGCTGTGGGAGGATGTGTGAACCAGCCGGGGTTGGGGTAAGTGATGGAGGCTTCTGCAGGCAGCCAGTGAGGCTGTGTGAGGGGCCAAACCCTGCCTCAGCCACTGTGACCCTTGACTAGGTTTCCAGCTTGTATGCTGTTCCTG